TTACGCGGCCCATCTTCCGCGAGTGCTCCATCGCCGTGCGCTACCTGGCCCAGAACGCGGCGTTATTACCGTTGATCTGCATGGAGAACAACCTGCTGCCGCTGTTGCTCCGCCTCGCGAAGTTCATGGAGTGCGAGGACACGCGCTACGACTCCGCGGTGTCGCTCTACCACATCCTGGGCAACGAGCCCTCCCAGAAGTCGATATGCCGCTCGGGAGCCGTCAAGGTGCTCACGGACCTCGCCGCGACGGGCACGCGCGTCCGCGAGGTCTGCTCCGCGGCGCTCCACCAGCTGCCGAACGGCCTGCTCCAGCACATGGACGGCCAGCTGTTAAGCGTGCTCATGTCGCTCCTGCAGATCCACAACGCCGACTTCACGGACCCGGAGTCCTTCGTCCCCGACCGGAGCTTCCAGAGCGACCACGCGTGGGACGTCGCGGGCGCCGACTACGACCCGCCGCGGCGCAAGATGCAGGCGCAGTGGCCCACGTCCGTCATCGAGAAGTCCGTGACGGCCTTCGTGCCCGCGCGCCACGCCATCGACTCCTACCCGGGCGAGCAGGTGAACCCGAGCCGCGCGCGCGGCACGACGGACTTCATCGGAAGCTATTCCAAGATGCGCGCGCCGTGCGCGCAGCAGACGGCCGCGAACCTGCAGCTGTCGCTGCTCGGCGCGCCCCACGAGGAGCAGGTCGTGCGCGAGAAGGAGCCCGAGCAGGCGCCCCTGTCGTCGTTCCTGGAATTGGCGCCGCCGCCCGTGCCGGCCGTCGCCGCGCGGCCGCCGCCGCCGAAGCGCGCGGACGAGGCCGCGCTGGCCGCGCCCGGCGACGACGCCGCGGCCGTCGCGTCGTCGGAGAAGCACGCGCGCGTCGCCCTGCCGAACATCCACGCCAAGGGCGCGCACAAGTTCATGACCGCGGCGGCCGTCGACGCGTCGGACGCGCTCCAGATGTCGACGATCCGCGCGGCCTTCCGCCGCGACTTGGACGACGACCCGGCGGCCCGGGGCGCCTCCGCCGCCGACGCGGGGCCGGGCAGCCCGGCCAAGGGCAAGGCCGCGCCCGAGCCCGTCAAGCGGAAGCAGAACCCGCGGAAGTACCTCGTCGCCAAGAAGATGAAGCAGAAGGACCGCATCTCCGACGACTACTACGAGCTCCTGCGCCACGTCGCGTAGTAAAACGGGTGCGGTCTGCCAGCTGGGCTGTGTGGGGGGTAGGAGGCGTGGTAGGAGGCCAACACCCCTATCATCATAACAAAAATGCCACAAAAATTTTCGCGCGCCCATCTGAAATCTCATGGTCGTCGCCCTTCTGGCCCTCGGCGCCGCCGACACCGCCTGCAACACGAACGAGGACTGTGGCTCCTGCGAGTTTTGTCACACCGGTCCCCCGTCTGAATTCGACACGGCCGTTTGCGTCCTGTGCTACTATCACTGGGACTGCGACGATATACCGTGGGACGACGACTGCGATGCTTTCCACAAGATGACGTGCGCCGCTCACGCGGACCAGCCCGAAGAGCGCGAGGCGCGGGCGAACTGCCAGGCCGTTTGCGAAGACGACGAGGCGGCCCAGA